AGGTTGCAGAATCAAACAAAAAAATGTAGTAGAATTGCACAGAAGTTACAAAAAATCTTTCAAAATTTATTCGAAAATCACAACAATAAACCCAGTTTTCCCTTAACCAAAGCAAATCACTGATGTAAATGCTTCTGAAGGCTAAAACCTGAAACCAAAACTAACTCGAAGCCTTCCAATCTAAGAGCTCTCAAAAGGATGAAAATGACGAATCCGAACAAATACATATTTTGGGTTGTGCAATGGCTCTTACAACGATATAGTCTTAGACTGATACTCAGCTAAGTAAAGTTCGCACCAGCTGTTTTAAACTTTGGCTATTCAGTTGCCTTCAGTTACATAGCCCGTCTAAGTGAGCGGAACAAATTTCCTTGTGCTCGGGTGGTGACAGATCTCCTGTTTGGTTAGATCAAGTAAAGTTGTTGCATTGCCATTGAATGTTTTCTATTATCAACTCCCGTGAAAGTAGTGGGTTTCAATCTTTTAAATCTAAATACTGCAGAGTACTGATGATTTGAGAAAAAGAAGGAAGTCAGGATTGAAAGTCTTTGCTCAAGCATTCGTTCAAGTAAAGTCCCTCTAATTAGTGACCTGTTTATCCAGTGTTCCATTTCCAGTGAATAAAATTTTATGATTTTTAGTGATAAGATCTGCCCAAAATCCGGCTCGTGGGCTAAAAAATAGAAAATTATTTTGGTTAAGGAAATAGTTGGTTATGTTCGGTGTAGCTTTCGTAATTTATTTACGCATACATGACTTACAGACAGGTTACTGGCTTATATCGGTTCTAAATGTCCAGTGTAAAAAACTATACTTGATTTATCGTGTCTAACAGTTTGCTTCAGTAATCGATATAAAACTGTATGACTCTTTAATTTAGCGTGTCGATTTTCAAAAGAGTAGAGTCATTTCTAATATCACACAGTAAAGATCTGTACTTTTCGCTGTCAGCTCTTAAGGATTTAGTGGTGAGCTATACCTTCTCCATTAGACGTTTATACACTGTGTCTGATTGACAGCGCTATAATAGAATAGATTGCAAGCTGTTTTCCAGTTATAGTTTTTTTTGACTTAAAGTGTACCTGGGCTTGTCTTATTTTACTCAGCAGCAGAAAACTTCTACGATGTTACTAACTTTTCAGTTACAGTTGAAACACCCAATTCAAATGACGTAGAAAAAAAGAAGATTGATCTATTATTTTTTATGCGAGTAACAATTCTGTGTTTAGGTATGGTGGATAAATTTAGATTTGGATGCTGTTTCTAAATAAAAAAATCCTTCCTTTACCCGTCTTCTAAAAAAAAGAAACAGACACGAAACGAAGACGCATGACCGCAAAGACAAATAAAGGGGAGAAAACTGAACGATAAGGAGGAAGGAAGAAAGAGGTACCGAAGAGCTCTGCCCTTACTTCAGGTGGTAAAGGAAGTCGTAAGACCACAAGCGAAAAAAAATACTCGACGCTATATCTCGTTAATGTCCACTTTCCAAGAATTTCTGAAGAAAATCCGGTTGTGTGTTCCATTAAACAAACTTTAGGCACACATTTGAAAAACTGTTACAAAAGGAACTTTCTTTAGGATTGTGTGCTGTAATGCTTTTATTTGAGCTTTTTTTTTTTTTGTTTTTTTGAACGTATGGAATATTTCAGAATCTAAATTTTTCTTAGGTCTGCCGGACCAAAACTATCAAGTAGCAAGTGGCATATCCACTCTATTGTCTGATGGAGCCTTAAAAAGTCGCTTTAGAAGAGGAAGGAGTTGCTTAGTCCAGCGATGAAGAGCAAAATGAATTGGGGAGTGAAAATTGCCAAAAAAGTTGGATATGGAAATTAGGAGTGCTAGAGTGAAAATGGAGCTGATAGTTTATATATTTTTTTTAATTCGCAATATTTCTATGACTATAAGGACTGTATGGTGTTGGGACATCGTTTTTGACTCATGTAATTCAAGTTTAAGGGTCAGTTCGCGCAGAGATCATGAGAATGTTTCGCTTTATAGTTTCAAAAGTGCTGGCGCTGAAGCGCTACCTGCCACGAGCCGGGATCGAACCGGCGACCTTTAGATCTTCAGTCTAACGCTCTCCCGACTGAGCTATCATTTCGGACAGTCGCGGGTTAGTGATTGTCCCTTGTGTAAACTGAGGCGGTATTGTAATTTTGCATATAAAGAGATGCGCGCAACAAATGACATCACTTTGAAGTATTTAAAGATTTCATTGAAAAAAAAA